GCACATAAGTTGTAAATATGATTTTATAGATCATAATAGCTGATTGAACATTGTGACATCATCATATTGCCATCTAAATTTTAAAAACTGGATGACGTCATTTTTGAAAATATGCATTTGAGCATATCTTCCTTATCTTTGATCGATCGTCTATGTCATAGCTGAGACAATTTTCTTTCATATTATGTGACTTCTTACATTTCGCTGACGTCGTCATGGTCAAAATAAATGTTTTTTCAGACCCCCTCATCTTTCTTTCCTCAAAACATTGAAGACCCCGTAATCATCTTAACCATTCGTCATTTCTGAATCATATTTAATTGGCATACACTTAAGGTCAAGGTTGAATGTCAGGTACCTCAATTTTCTGTTCACACATCTTAACGTGCACGTACGCGTGCATCAACATCAAAGTACATGAGTTGTAGATATGATTTTTGTTTATTTATTTTTATTTATTTAGTTGTTTTTTCGCTTTTGGAAATGTCCCTTGATTTTTCATTTTGATCACGTAATCATGGTAAAAAAAAATAAATTTTTGGAGCCCTTTTATCTCTCTTTCTTAAAAGATGTATTTTGACTGATATATAGGTTATATGAAGGGAAAATTAGTGTGGCATTACCAACTAACAGACGGTTTTAAAAACGCTCGATAATGTTTAATTTCGTGTTCCATTAAACTGGTTTTCCACTAGGCGAATTTATTCGTGCAAATCAAAGCCTCGGTTCTGTTCCTGAGCTCTGATTGGTTGCACACTTTTTTGCTTCGCAAAAACTCCGATGGGAATGTGAATGCTCATGCGCATGAACCGACGATTTCAGTTTGCGCAAATAGCTCCGACTAGTGGAAAACAGACTTTACCGTCCATGCACACATCGTGACGTGCGTGTGCGTTAAAATTTGTAAATTCTCAATATCACTTTTCAGATAATGTAAAGAACGTTTCAAGTCATTTTCAGCATTCCAAAACTTTCCATAATTTAAGTGCCATACGTTCATTTCCACGCGCGCAGCGCGTATTGAAGCTGGAAATTAAGTTTTTTTACATATTTTGGGTTCCTGCTGACACTGTATTCTTATCAGGAGTCAACTCTTTGTGCCATTACCGTGCTCACGGGCATCAAGACGTGCATGTACACATGCGTAAATCTTTCAAAATGCTCAAAATTACTCTTTTTAAAAAAAACTAATTACAGCATATTTTAGCATATAAAACTTTTCAATCAGAACCGCGCACGCTTCCTAAGGGTCAAAGTGCAGCGGATCACCAAACTCGTCCTCAGTGACAAGTTCAAATCTAGTTTGATTTAAATATTGTATTCATAGTAAAAATAAAGAAAATTGTACAATTCAAAATTTTATTTAAATATAACAGTGCTACTAGAATATTTCTGAAAGTTACTTATCCCTTGATTGATTTGCTTTCTTATAAGAAAAATCTTTAAAAATATTTATTACAAGAATGTCAACTTGCCTTATTTCTTTACTTATTGCCTTTGATAATTTTGAATTGGTGGTATATAAATATTGTTAATTGTTATTAATTTATTGCTTTGTTTTCAGTGTTGATGCAGCTGTTGGGATCTTTGCAAATGTAAGGCCACCAGGAATATACAAAGGCCATTATATTGAAGAGTTATTTGAGCGCTATGACGAAAAAGAAAGTGCACCTCCTGCTCCTACACTACCTGATTGGTGTTTAGGTATGTTGAATCTAATTGTTATTTTGGTATGTTGAATCTCATTGTTGTGAAACTGATTGGTAGGTTTGAATGACCTTAGTTTGTCAATCCATAGAGTTGACCGTGAAGTTGACATTATGTAACTATTTGGGAGAATTTGCACTGTGATGTTAAAATGTAAGTTTTATGTAGGTAGGCCTAGGTGTTTGATTTCATTAAATTTGACAGTTGTAGGCCTAGGTAGTAGAGCTACTGATTTTATGTTAAGTAGTTAAGTAGTAGTAGTAGTTGTTAAGTAGTAGTATTATTATTACGGTAGATGAAAATTTGTTTTGACATTTCTTTTTGGATCAGTTTTTTCCATCGAGTTTCAGTTTACATTACTTCAGTATAGGTTAGTCCGTGCTAGCATCTGTCATTTGCCTGACGGTCAGACGTAGAGCACAACGTCGACTCATAGCAGCTCTCTAGTGTAGTTAGGCTAGGTCGTCTACAGAGACTAACTAGGCTAGGGCCTACTAATTATGAGGGGTGGTGCCAGGATTTGCCCGATGGGGGTCAGATGTCTCCTACAAGAGCAAAGTGCGCATAATCGGGTGTCACCTAAATTTTCAAAATTTGTCCTGGTGGCAAAGCCCCCAGAAAGGTTAGATGAGTTAAAAGTAATAAAAAAAAAACTTCAAGCAAGTTACACACGCTCCAACTCGGAGCCTATTTCTAATGGCAATCTGATTCACCTTCTGATAATAATAATAATAATAATAGATAGATTTATATAGCGCAAATAAACAAGGTCTCTATGCACTCGGGACTAGATGTTGCACTTTCCAATAACTTTTTCCTCCCGTGAGGGTCACTTCATGTCCTCTGCAGCCAGTAAACCGGCGCACTTTCATCTGTCAACAAAAAGGGGCCGAATGAACCAGTACACCGATGTAAGCCCCCACTTATCTCGAAAGATGTACTGGGTTCTTTAAAGTACACATGAGCATACGGTTTATAGTCCTTATCCGAGAAGACTTGTTCCACCACCAGAACTATAGGAGCGAGCCGGCTGCGAACCCGTGCCGATATTGTTGGCTATGATCACGGTGCTCCTGCCTTAACCGCTTGGCCATTTGTTATTGTCCTTGGTGTGTGTTATGTAGTGGTAGCGTGACCATGGCCTATTAACTATGAAAATAAAAAAAACACTCTGCAGAAGGAGATGTGTATAAGAGACAGTCACTACACACTGTGTAGTCTAGGCTAGGGAAGTTCAGCTACGGGACGTAAGATGTGTATAAGAGACAGGTGCAGCCTTTGACCACATCCTCTATATCACGGTTAATTCAAAATTCAAAACATAGATGATTTTGCTCGTAGTTGGGTTTTGACTATACATTGGTGGTCGATGTGGAGCTTTTTCAAGATGCCTGGTCTTAGTTTCTCTGGTACTAGTATTCTGTTTCCTTGTAGTATAAGGTCATCTTCAGTTGCTAATGTATCCCTGGTTGACCAATACATTCTGATGCATTTTGGTAACTTCTTTGGTTCATCTGGCCATCCGTTTATGATGGTGTCCATTGGGGGTTTAAGAATTACACTTTGTTTGGTCTCTTCTTGCATCTCTGCTAGCTTTTCAGCTGTAAATAGGTTAGTTTCATTAAGGACAGCAAATCGGTTTGATGTAGGGATGGCACTTACGATTTCTGGTTCAATATCTACTTTCTTATTTGGATTATTATTCACCTTAATGCTTAGTTGATTGACCGTTTCCTCAAGTTCAGCAATTCTACTAATAAACATCGACTTAAGATCTTCGATCATCTTATGGGTTATACTGGTATCTAATGGCTCTGTTTGAGTTTCAATGGTCTTTGATGTCATGGATGACTGTGTTTCTTGAGTTTCAGCATCTATTTTTTCATAATTACTGTTTTGTGGTTGCAAAGTAATAGCATCAGCCAGCAAATGGTTTGGTGTCGATGAAATTATACCAGCTTCTTCATTCGTAAATCCATAGAAAGATTCATCTGATGTTGAATTAAATATATGGATCAAGTTCTTTGTAATGTTATCCATTCTGAACATTTTCTAGGCCTCTCAGAGTGTGTAGTAGGCTTATTTCAATCCAAGAATGTCCAAGCAAATTAGATAGCCCTGAAACACTAAAGAGTAGAACAATGGAGGGTGGGCTAGCAATCCTAGCCTCAAATAAACAAACTGTTTAGCTGGTCTCTAGAGGTGTCAAAATTTGGTTTGCCTGCTTGTTGCTGCTTAGAAAATAGACTCACTTAGGTATTTTGAGCCTAGGTTTAAAAGTCAAATTTTACCTTTAAAAGTTCAGCAAATACATTTCAAACAGCCTCAACTTTGTCCTTGTATATGAAAATAAATTCTGGTATCTAAAACAAGAGTATTTTCCAGTTCAAAAACAATAATAAACTTAATTTGTTAACAGAGCTTTTTTAAGGGTCATCACTTGTTGCATGGCTTTCTCCAAGTATACCGGTATGACTCAAGAAAACATTAGACCTAATTCACAAGAGACAATTATGGTATACTCCCTGTACTTACCAAATGGTAAAGAGTGGGTGCAAAAAAAGTGGAGTTGAATAGCTTAGTTTTTTAGGTACTTTCCTTAAATTCTTGTGACAGCAGGACTTTTTGTTATGACTAAAACAAACTCCACTCTTTAAGCCTCATAAAGAAACTTCACTGATGATAAAAGCATCACATTTTTTCGATTATATAAAGAGGGCCTCTGAATATCAGCTGACATCCTAGTATACGCTGGCAGGATAGACCCCCAATAAATATGGTTTTAAAAAAAAGCTATGAGATCCTGTTTTTCCTGCATGTTCAGTATTTATAGCCACTGTCAAACGCATGTGGAAAATTCCAGATAGATTATTCTTGGCATGCGTAGGAACATGCATGGGAAGTTTTGAAGCAAACAGTCTGTTATCATTGCATGCACTGCAGCACACGGCATGCTAATGATCATATTTTTTTTGAAAAAAATATTTTCAATGCTAAAGAGAAAGCTAAAATTATATTTATTTGGCAATTTTGTTATGTAAATCATAGATATTAAACTACTTAAAATAATACATGTACAAGCACTCTTTCACAAACAATATATTGATTTACTTACAGTGGCAAATCCACTATTTTTAATAAAAGGCATTCTGAAATCCCAATTTCTCCCAATTTCGAACATATTAATCACACACAAAAATCAACTTCTGAAAACTGGACTATCAGTTAAATAAACATTGTAACAAGAAATAGCAAAACAACAAGTATGCCAGATGCCGTGAATATGAGATGCTTAGCTGAGTCCAATAGCTGTCTCTTATACACATCTAGATGTGTATAAGAGACAGGTCTCTATGCACTCGGGACTAGATGTTGCACTTTCCAATAACTTTTTCCTCCCGTGAGGGTCACTTCATGTCCTCTGCAGCCAGTAAACCGGCGCACTTTCATCTGTCAACAAAAAGGGGCCGAATGAACCAGTACACCGATGTAAGCCCCCACTTATCTCGAAAGATGTACTGGGTTCTTTAAAGTACACATGAGCATACGGTTTATAGTCCTTATCCGAGAAGACTTGTTCCACCACCAGAACTATAGGAGCGAGCCGGCTGCGAACCCGTGCCGATATTGTTGGCTATGATTAATAATTATATTTGCTGTGCTGTACAGCAAAACAACAGGTACTGTACTGTACTTGAAACAGCAGTCGCTCATCGTGCAACTCCCTTCCGTCTGGCTAGCCTACTCTACACTATCTTGGTAGGGGCCTTTGGCTAGTATTCGGTGGCGGGCGCGAGAGTGTTGAATATGAAGAAAAACCATACAAGTATAGAAACGGTTGTGCTTTGTTTGTTGGTAAATTCATTTATACTATCCACCATTCATGTACTAAAACCTTTTTTGCATATTTTATTGGTATTTGAATTTGGCAAAAGCATTTTCCATTTGGCTAAAAAAAAACAAAAAACATTTAGCCCTTTTGATTAAAGGAAATTTGACCCTAGTGTGAGCATAGTGTACTTTGTGAAATATTATAAAATGTATGCTTTGTATGCCATTTTTTGCTATTTCGGTCACTGGAACATATGTAATTCTTAAGGCATTGCACTTGATCACTTTATTTCATAATTATTATTGTTGATCCAAATTGTTAAAATTTTGTACTATATTACGCTCTAAAGTTTTGTGACAAACTGTTTGCTTTCTAAAATAGACTAGCAAGTTTGCATCTAGGTTGGACTAACGTTACATTGTTGCCGAATTATTATGCATCATTATTATGCTGTTTACATGGCTCCCCTTTGTATTACAGTATTGTTTGTTTAGATGATGTCATCATGTGAGATAGGTTGTTTCCCCCTTCATTTTTATTCATTGGGTGAATTATGTCTGTAATGTGTACTTTCTGCAAACATTTACCATCCAATACGAGACCATATTTGGTATGTGAAAATTGGAAGTGGTCTAATTGGTCATGTTCAATTAGAAACATCTAAAAGGAGGTTAACTGAAACCAAAAGCATTTAAGAGAACACTGCTGAAGAGTGGTCTCAAAAATCAACATACTCTACTGTAATTAGAGGGTAATCAAATCCAAATCCAAAAACCTCCTAAACTACAAATTCAGGATAGGCTGATGGTAACTGGTAAAAGTGCTGCCGGTTATATGACATGGGCAAAAGTGCAGCCACTTATTGTTTGACAAAAAGAAAATCAAGTTAGGAGATGCAGGCATCGCTGAAGTCTTAGTACTACATCACAGCTAATTCTCACACAACTGGTCGCAAAGGCCTTCAGTGCCACAGCAAATTTGTTATTTTATGTTGAGGTTTATCAAAAAAGATTTTATATTTGATTTTATACCTCCATGGCTAATGTAAATTTGTTTTTGTTAGTAAATTGATTATTACTATAATTTAATATAATGCATTGTTTTCTCACATATTGAGGAATGTTACATGAAGTTTAATATGAGTAATATTATTTGAACTTTTTTTTTATTAGTTCATGGATGGTGTTGTTGGTGTCGGCATTGTAATCGACTCAGTGGTAGTCAATAGACTAAGAACAAAGATCAATCACATGTGTGGTTGGCATCGGTATGTATTCAAAATTTATATATTTTAATCTTATTTTGAACCCTATTTGAATAATGTGGACTATCAAATTACACATCATTTGTGACCTGCAACATTTAATATTACAAACTACAAACAAACTTGTAATATAAATCTAAATTTTATAACAGATTATTTTCATAGCAAAACTAATAAAGAAAATATATCTACATTATTTTGACATAAATTTTAATTTTAAATTAAATTTATTATTCCACTTAGTATATAAAGATAAAAATACATAACATGATTGACAGGTACTAAACAAGCAAATCTTTAAGAAATTAGACCCTCTTGATTAAAAAAAATTTTTTTTAATTTAGAAACACTTTTCTGATTGTCAGAAAATGTGCTCAGTCACACTGTATTTTTGATCAATTAATTAGACTAAAAATTGTTAATTTGCCCTCTCCGTTGCCTCCAAATTCTTGGGTGTTTCCAAAAGTTTACTTTCTTTTATTCAGTTTACATTTTTTTTATAGTGATTGTTATTGTCCTGATGGATTAGACAATAACTGGATTTGCATCAGGAGAATCAAGTATAGGTGTAAAATTTTACCCTACCTGACATGAAAATGTATTGAATGCTCAGTACATGTGAAAACAATTGTGAAGAAAATCGCAAGTTGTTCTTGGGTGGGTCACTACCCTGGCATCGTACCTCTAGACCACCGACCTTGTGCCTGATGGCCAGGTTTTAAAAGAATAGAATGCATTTTCAAATTATCTTGTTAAAGCAGAATCTGTAAATCAATTCAAGGCTGGTGATCTGGAGATCGTGAGTCCCAGCCTTAAACTACTTGCGATTTTTTTCACAATTTTTTTTTCAAACGTACTGAGCATTCAGTACATTTCCACGTCAGATAGAGAAAAAGTACACCTATACTTTTTTTTTTATTATTTCTTTTAAATTCCAGATAAACAGAAGAAATGCTTGTTTAGGATAACTAAGAAATAACTCTATTATGCACCTGTCTCTTATACACATCTAGATGTGTATAAGAGACAGGAAACTTCACTGATGATAAAAGCATCACATTTTTTCGATTATATAAAGAGGGCCTCTGAATATCAGCTGACATCCTAGTATACGCTGGCAGGATAGACCCCCAATAAATATGGTTTTAAAAAAAAGCTATGAGATCCTGTTTTTCCTGCATGTTCAGTATTTATAGCCACTGTCAAACGCATGTGGAAAATTCCAGATAGATTATTCTTGGCATGCGTAGGAACATGCATGGGAAGTTTTGAAGCAAACAGTCTGTTATCATTGCATGCACTGCAGCACACGGCATGCTAATGATCATATTTTTTTTGAAAAAAATATTTTCAATGCTAAAGAGAAAGCTAAAATTATATTTATTTGGCAATTTTGTTATGTAAATCATAGATATTAAACTACTTAAAATAATACATGTACAAGCACTCTTTCACAAACAATATATTGATTTACTTACAGTGGCAAATCCACTATTTTTAATAAAAGGCATTCTGAAATCCCAATTTCTCCCAATTTCGAACATATTAATCACACACAAAAATCAACTTCTGAAAACTGGACTATCAGTTAAATAAACATTGTAACAAGAAATAGCAAAACAACAAGTATGCCAGATGCCGTGAATATGAGATGCTTAGCTGAGTCCAATAGCTGTCTCTTATACACATCTAGATGTGTATAAGAGACAGGTCTCTATGCACTCGGGACTAGATGTTGCACTTTCCAATAACTTTTTCCTCCCGTGAGGGTCACTTCATGTCCTCTGCAGCCAGTAAACCGGCGCACTTTCATCTGTCAACAAAAAGGGGCCGAATGAACCAGTACACCGATGTAAGCCCCCACTTATCTCGAAAGATGTACTGGGTTCTTTAAAGTACACATGAGCATACGGTTTATAGTCCTTATCCGAGAAGACTTGTTCCACCACCAGAACTATAGGAGCGAGCCGGCTGCGAACCCGTGCCGATATTGTTGGCTATGATTTCTTTATACAACACAATGGTTCTTCCTTATTTATCGTACTGTAATTGGTATGGGGTACGGTAACAAACAAACACCAACAACTATGTCCATGGGTTAGCACAGAAACAACAAAATTAGATCAACCCTTTAAATTACAGGAAAACACGTAGAATTTGCACCAAGTCTAATTCTTTATCACATACTAAACCACTTTTTTTTACATTTAAAACTTTAAATATTTTTGACATTAATAAGCTTCAAACTGCAATATTTATGTATAGATACCTCCCAGAATCATTTAACAACTACTTTAAGAAACATGGTGAATCACACAATTACCATACACGTACTGTACCTCTAGTGATTACATTTTGCCAGACAAATTTTATCCGTAATTTTGTTAATTTTAATGGAGCTAATATGTGGAATTCTCTTGATCAAAATCTTAAAACTGCACCATCTGTTTTAAATTTTAAATCAAGCTACAAAAAACATTTAATATCAAATTACGCTGCGTCTTAATAATTATACAGTATAAATAAAAAGAATGTTAAGTGAATAATTTGAAATGTATAGCTTTTTTTTTTTTTTTTTTTGTTTCCTTATTTTAAAAGAATCGTGTATAATTGTTTAACTGTCTTTGTATTTTTTTTTTCTTTATTTTGTAAGGGGTGGGTCGATCTTAAAACCTTATTTGGTTTATCTGACTCTCCCCCCACACAATACTTGTTTCAATGAACTATGTACAGTATATGTTTTATTTGATGATGTGTGGAAATAAATGAAATGAAATGAATGAACAGTATAGCAGAGATCCCAAGTTTGAAAACCAAAAATAGGGAGATTTTTTTCATGAAGCGGTCGCCTCCTCCTTACAACGCGCTGTGCAACATGAAATTATTACACAAAATGAAGAAAACAAACAATTTTCATCAATTTGTTTACTTTTATTTAACAATTTTACATTTGTTTACACATTGCAGTTGGCCTAAAATATAAATTTATAAATATTATTATTTATTTAGCATTTTGCTAGTAAAGCGTTCTTGGCAGCAATCAACAAGGCTTTGCTTGGTTCATTGGCATATTAGAGGCTATGGTTGATTTATTACATCTCATCAAAGAACATAGAATTCTAGCAAGGTAACTGCAACTTGCAAGATTCACACGTTTGCTGAAAAAATTAAAAATATATATATATTTTAATTTAGTTAGTAAATCATACTACATGATTTAAGTCAGCAATATAAGTCTAGCCTACAATAACTGGTACATAATGCCATGAAAAAACATTAAATCCTGCCTCGCTAGGCTCCATTTTTTTGTGTGTAACTTGACCTAAGGCCGCAGAGTCACAACCACCACTAGTCTACACACAGACGCCCACCCAACACAACACACATACATATCCTGCAGTGCAGATAGAGCCTAGGCCTAAGCCCTACATGTATTTCGGGATCGATATTAAAATAAACTTCATTTTTCGGAAGACTGCTTAGTACCAAAACCTATTAACTATAATTTTTTTAGTATCGTTATTAAAGAACTGAAGCTTACTTGAAAGAAAAAGTATTTTTTATGCACCGATTCTGTTCCAAATCTTCGTGACGAAAACTTGGTTCCCCATCCATTCCCATGTGATTTCTGATTTCGTTAATTTGTTGAAATTTATTTACTCAACTGCCAGCCATCTCATTGAATGAGGTCAGCGCTGGATTCAAAAGATCGTAACACGGAGGATAAACAAGGCAGTTCTACCTCGGATCTAGGCCTGCCTTGCCCGGGAGTTGTTATTTTGATAAACAACTTAAATAACAACTCCCTGGCCTTGTTTATGACATTTTATGGCTGAGCGAGCGCCATAGTATATCAGCGTAAGATAAGAAATTTTGTTTCATTGCTCTATGACATCGTGGAAATCACATTTTTCGTGAAATTTTCGGGATATTTAAAAAAATCGGGAGATATTAATAAAAATCGGGAGGGCGGGAGACGGCCTAAAAAATCGGGAGAAACCCGCGATTTTCGGGAGACTTGGGATCTCTGGTATAGAAGCATCAACCACTATCAAACTGTTTCACCAACCTGCCAAATATAAGCACCAACAAACATCAGACTGTTTCACCAACCTGTCCAACATACAGTATAGAAGCACCAACCACCATCAAACTGTTTCACCAACCTGCCAAATATAAGCACCAACCACCATGACAATTGTTACACCAACCTGTCAAATATAGAAGCACCAACAGGAGGGGGGTCTGATTTCCCCAACTGGGGGCCTATGTCCCGGCAAGTAAAAGTCGGCGTGGTTGGGCGTCGCTCAAAATCTCACCAACCTGTCAAATAAATATATAGAAGCACCAACCACCATCTAACACTTTCGCTAACTTTTCAAATAGAAATACTGACCACCTTCACCAACCCTACACAATCACACTGTTCTACCAACCTGTAAAATCCATGCATCAAGTTGTAATTAAAATAAAAGTATTTATTTATGTATTTATGTTGAAATTTATTTATACTTGAATAGCAAATAATTATTTATCATATTATTCATAATGTTGTAGAAATAAAGAATTGATCTGTTTTTTGGTTTATCTAGACAAGAGTTCCCAGGGAGCCAACCAGTGTCAATGGACAGAAAAAATCTTCATTTCTTTCTGGAACATTTGTATAAAGTTAGCTGGAAGGCTGATGGAGTCAGGTATTGTATCATTTGTTGGTGTACTGTATTTAACGTTCAAATGTTTAACATATATGTGGTAAAGACAAACCAAACCAGTCCAAACTTGTCGCAAATCAATATTCACAGGTGCTCGAATGATATTGGCATCTAGTTATAGTCAATTCCCAATCAGAAGGAAACAAAGTTTTTAACATTTTCTTAAATATTGTAATGGATGCTGAAATACGAATATTGCGCGGTATTTTGGTAATGAGTGGGAGACTCAATGTTGAACCTAGATACCATCACGAACAATAATAGCTACGCCACCACCTCGGCCATAAGACCGAGGAGTGTGGAAGATGTTGGCATGGTTCTCTTGATGTCCACAATGACGTGTCCATCTCTTCTGTTGTTCGTTAGCAAAGTCTCAACAGCCAGTATGTCAAGATGATTTTCAGTAATGTAATCACAGAGTGCAGCTGATTTATTTCTGGCTCATAGATCTGGCATTCCACATTGTTAAATTATTCCTGGCACTGGGATGTCTAGGGCAAGCCTGGACCACTTTCTTACCCTACTAACTTTCGTCCTATTTCCATGCTTCCTATCTGTTCTAAACTTTTAGAAAAGGCTGTTCATATTCAACTTACAAATTATCTTAACGAACACAACCTATTTACATATAACCAGTCTGGTTTTCGCACAAATTTTTCTACTTTCACTGCACTTACTAATACTACCGATACTTGGCTGCACAATATTAATGACGGCAAGATAACATGAGTAGCATACGTCGATCTTAGAAAGGCATTTGACATGGTCAATCACCAAATCCTTCTCCGTAAGCTCTCCTGTTATGGCATTAACAGCATTGCACTTGCCTGGTTCACTACATACCTTACTAATCGTACCCAACTTGTTTCTTTTAAAAACACCTTTTCTTCTTCCATCACTATTAATACTGGTATTCTCCAAGGTTTTACCCTTGGCCCTTTGCTCTTTAATTTATTTAACAACGATCTTCCCGCCGTTACTAACTATTCTATCACTGAAATGTACGCCGATGACACTATTCTTCATATTTCGGATTCCAATAATAATAATATCAATACTAAATTGTCTCAAGATCGTAATGCAATAACCCACTGGCTGCATTCAAACAAACTAATTACCAACACTGATAAATCTGTGACTATTCTCATTGGTACTTCTCAACGTACCTGCGATAAACAAATCAGTGTTTCTATCGACAACACCTTCCTTGATCAGGTCAATATCCACAAACACCTCGGAATCACTATTGACCATAACCTAACTTGGAAACCACACTCTCGTAATTTATCCTCCTCTATTGCTTACAAAACTTTGGCACTTTCTCGAGCACGTAAATTTATTGATAAAAACACTGCACTTCTAATTTATAACATTTTAATTTTACCTCATATTGATTATTGCATTTCTGTATGGGGTCCATGCACCAAAGATATTCTTGCTAAAATACAGAAACTTTAAAATCGTGCTGTCCGAGTTATACATAATGTACCACCTCGTACTCCATCCGCTTCATTATTTGAACCTATAAAGGTTATGAATGTTACCCAACGGTACCTTTACCAACTAGCATGTCTTACCTTTAAATCTTTGAGGGGACTGGCTCCAGACTATCTAGCCCTAGGACTGGATATCAGACAACAAAGGCACATGCGCACCAGATCCGTTGCCGCTGGTAATCTCAATATTCCTCATCCCAAACTCCATTCATTCAAATCATCTTTCAGTTACCAAGCTCCTTCATTCTGGAATACCCTCTCACTTACCATCACCACCATACCTGCTTACAACACCTTTAAAAAACACATCAAGCAACACATTTTAAACAAGGATTTATATTCCTCTTTTTCTTAGGTTATTTTCCTGTTTGGGTTCGGGTGTTTGTGTGTGTGTGTGTGGGGATGTATTTGTGTGTGTTTGTTTTTCCTCTCTGTTTTGTCTGTTTTCTTTCTTATGCTTTCTTTTTCTTATATATTTTTAGAATTTTAATGTTTGCTGTTTTAAATTTTATGATTAATTGATAGATTGACTATATTTTTGTATACTTTTTATATCTTTGTATTTAAGTGGGCCCCTGAACATCAGATTTACTCTGTAAGGGTCGCCCACTCAAAGCATGGTTTTAAATAAATAAATAAAGTACAGCATTGAACATCCATAAAAAACAGTGAATATTGTGTCAAATAATTTTATTAAAGTTGTCTGCTTTTAATTTCTATCCTATTTTCTAGATATATGATGTTAATTGATGGTAAAGAACATGTGTATATGTTTGATCGTGACAACACTGTTTTTGCTGTTCCTCAACTGACCTTCCCAAAGAGAAAAGAGGTTGGACATATCAGTGACACATTGCTAGATGGGGTATGTTTTGGATTTTATTTAACACCATTAATGGTACTAAAATACTAATATTGATAATCATGTCAGTGACACATTGCTACAGTACTGTTCAAATATTTTTAACCATCACTCTAGAGGGTTCTGTGAGAGAAATTTGTGCTAAGTTAACAACAATATTCTGTGAGTGGATGTTTACGTAACATAAACAGTTTTATTCATGAGCTAAGTACTATAAAATACAGAACTCGCTGTCTGATACACTATGTAAATCGAGAACTAATTGATTATTACTTGTTTATAAACTCAAGTTGCTGCGCCTAATTAATATGCGTTGGCCTAATCCAACAGAACAAAGGTATGGAATTGTCTTCACTTCTTAATTATTAAGACACCTGTTGAACGGCGTGGGTGGGGATTTATTACAATACAACAATTGATGTTTGAGGAAAAAGAGTCAATAATGCAACAGGACAAAAATTAAACTCTACCCTTCATCTTCTATCTTCATGGTTAAAATCTAACAAGCTAACTCTTAACATACAAAAAACTAAATCTATGCTACTTGGTTCTCCGCACAAACTAAAATCTGCTAATAACAATCTTAATCTTCATCTTGATAACCATCCAATTCTGTCCGTTACGTCCCACACACACTTAGGCGTAATTATTGATAACACTCTAACATGGAAGTCTCACACATCTTCCCTTTGTAAGAAACTTAACTCTATTGTCTATCTTCTTGCACGAACCTCAAAATTTACTAATGATTTTACCCTTCAAATACTTTACAATTCTTTGTTTCTCTCTCGCCTTGACTATTGCTGCTCAGTTTGGGGATCAAAATCTACCTCATTATCTAAAGTTCAGAAGATCCAGAACAGAGCCATTCGTATCTTACTGAAACTTCCTTCTACCTCTCACCTTACTCCCACTCATTTCAGATCTGCCAATATCCTTCCCCTTCAACTCCGATTTCAATTTCAACTATGCTGTTTAACTTACAAAGCTCTTCATAACCTTGCTCCACAAAATCTTTGTCAATGCCTTAAAATGATTGTTGCCAATGGCCGTATGACCACAAGAAAAATCACTAAAGGTGATCTTCTCATTCCTAAGACTAATCTAGAAATCTTTAAAACTTCATTCAACTATAATGCTCCTTACATCTACAACTCTCTTCCACCAATTGTCCGTACTACTTTCTCTTTCTCTTCTTTCAAATCCAACCTTCTTAGCTATCTTTCATCCAATCTTGTGTAATTTTCCCTGTGGCCATCTCTTTTTGTTGCAATATTTTTAATCGTGATATTGTTCTGTTTTAAATTGTAAATTATTTATCTTTTATAATCTTTTATAATTTTTCTATTTTTGGTAGTTCAATTAATTATCTTCTCATTAATTCTATTGATTTATTTTTTATTTCAATTATTATTCTGTCCAATATGTCAATTTCTTTTTTTTTAATTTTTTTTATTTTTAATGTTTTCCTTAAATCATTATTTTTATATAATTTATATACTGTAGGCCTATATCTGGGGGTTTTTTTCTGATTTTTATTATTTTTTATTGTTATTATTATTATTAATTTTTTCCTGGTTTAATTTAATTAATTTGCTTATGTTAAAGATCACGTTTAATTTTTATACTTATGTTTTAATTGTATGTACTGAGAGTCCCAATTGATCAGCTCAGGCTGGATGGACCACCCTACAAAATATTGTTGAAATAAAATAAAAAATGAATAAAGTACCAGAAGCAAACTGAAATTTACTAAAAGGCTATTATTACTGTATTACTTTTAACACCTAGTCCTTACCTTGGATGACATCTTTCAATGTATTTGTATTTCTAATTTCACAATAATATTTGTAGACAATATTTGCCTATCCTACAGTTGTACAGCAAATAGGTCATGTTATAATGCTGTTAAAAATATATTATAACTAATCAAAACCGAAACGTATTTTTAAGTTTCGATTCTTATATTTCCTAAATATTATTTAATCTTATTCCTCCTAAGAATATATTTACATGACTTTAGGTGGTTGTAATGATACTGTAGGTATGGTCCATCCGCAATGCAGTCTATGTTTACCAAGATCAAAACTTGTCCTTATTGTTCTCAGGCGCGCTCGATACAGCTGAATGGACTTTTTGTTTGCTCGTCGGGGAGGAAAAAAGATTATATGTATTTTCTACATACTAGTAGACTCAAATCAATTAAATAAGCCTTTTAAACCCCTAAATAAACCATTGAAACACCTAATTTTTAGGTGATTCAGCCCACTTTCTTTAAATTTTGAGCGATGCACGACCACGCCCACTTTGCTCTCCTCTAGGACATCAGCTCCCCATTGGGCAGATGCTTGGCCTACCCATGTGTCTCTTGATATCGACTGTATAGGACATATATCATAATCCAGTGTCGGAATAAATATGAGTGGGAGGAACCTGTCGGCTCGGGGCCCCACTAAATTTGTCTAAATATTACTTAAATGGAGATAAAAAGAAATTTATATTTACAATTTTATATGTGTGAGTGCCATATCCGGCCATCTACAGTTGCCACAATCATAAATGTCCTTACCTCAGCCTCAACCATGGTGGGGCTGAGGTGGATTGACTCTGTCAAACTGTGAAAGTCTCTCCCTGGCACCTGGATCTGCCACTGTATTATATCATTTATTTGTCGTTAAAAATATTTAGAATAACAATGCAAACATGATTAAAAAACAAGCAGAACTAAAATCCCACTATGGAATTGAGGACTGGGACCCAAAAATGTTCCCCAAGTTTCGAAAAGCCACAGGTCCCCCGGCCCCATCATTACGCCAATTATGGACCTCTGCTTCTGTCTCCCTTGATAACATTTCGTCATCAGCACCAACAGAGTTGTCCAGGTGTTGAGGTTCAACAACCTGTGGTTTTGGTTTTTCATTTGTTTGATGAGGTCGGAGACCAGGTTGCCAGAAATTTTAGTTCATATATGTGCACCTGTTCAATTTCCCCCCCCCCCCCCAAATAAAGCACAGTACGAATCTGGATTAAAATAAAAACGAATATTAGAACAATTTTAATTAACTTTAAATGGCATGTTGAAGACATACTATAAAATTTATCAGCTGAAATAAAAAACAAAAAAAATTTAATAGTGGTGGTTATAAAAGTGTGGTATTTTGAATACTAAATGTACAGATCTTAAATGAAGCTGCTTATTGTCTTGAACATTGTCACACCTTTTTTAAGAAAATTGTTTTAAAAATGGGACATTGCAGCTAAAAAAAATTGACCACTATAATTAATTTTAAGCTATTTCTGACACCACTAATCAATTCCTTGGCCTAAAAAACATTTTGGCCTGCACTGTTCCATTTTTTAACCGATTTTCTCAAAAAGGTGTCAAAATGTTCAAGACTATAAGCTGCTTCATTTAAGACCTGTACATTTGGTATTTGAAATATCACACTTGTATAGATGTGTATAAGAGACAGGTATAGGACATATATCATAATCCAGTGTCGGAATAAATATGAGTGCGAGGAACCTGTCGGCTCAGGGCCCCACTAAATTTGTCTAAATATTACTTAAATGGAGATAAAAAGAAATTTATATTTACAATTTTATATGTGTGAGTGCCATATCCGGCCATCTACAGTTGCCACAATCATAAATGTCCTTACCTCAAAAAAAACAAAAACATTTCAATGAAATAAGTAGATGTGTATGAAGAACATTTACTTGTATTTTTTAAGTATTAATTTAGGCACTCAAGATATAAGGATTGTCAATAGCAAATATATCACTGTTGTGCTACTTGCAGGTGACAATCCTTTTCACAAGACAAAACACACACAATGCTTTTACACAACTGAATCTCAATATGAGGGAGTGGTCGCAACAGTGAAAGGAAATTTAACCCAGGACAAAACACACACAATGCTTTTACACAACTGAATCTCAATATGAGGGAGTGGTCGCAACTGTGAAAGGAAATTTAACCCAGGACCATGGGATTTGAAGGCAAGCATCTTAACCACCAAACTATTCAACTCCACTAAAAGTTAACTTAGTTGTGATAAAAGGTCACTTCCATTACCTTCTAAAAATGGATACATCAGAAATAATGTCTTTTAAACACTATCAGTTAATTTATCTTCATTAAAATTTGATTTCAAATTATATTTCATTTTTTTGTGATAACTGTTGAACAACATTTTAAATCATAGTATATTATTTGGAGTAGTAATTTTCTTTATTCTATCAGTCAGTGTGTTTCAAAGTGAGACACTTTAGTAGGTCTCACAGTTCAATTAAGTGAGAATAAATCTTTCGGGATTTAGAGTCACTTTTAAAAATCTGTGAGATAAATCAAGTTGCTAATTATTAATAATGTCACAGCTTTTTGGCAAACCAAGAGTCAAGAGCAGAGGAGACGATCTAGAGAATTTGGATAGGCCAAATGAAGTCTTAATATTAAAGACATCGGCCAATATCAGATCTTGTGTTTCTTCATAATATGTAACATCAATACATCACATATCTTTACAGGTATTATTTTCTTGATGATGATTGAAGCAACTCCATCAAAATGTTGTAGCACTCTCAAAAAATACATCAATTTATTTAACTCAATCAGTTCTTATGAATGTAAATATTGGAATACCACAAGATCTATATTGGGTCCACTACTGTTTATAATTCATGTAAACTCTCTACCAGATAACATACCTTGTAAATGTGTAATATACGCGGATGACACCACTATTCTTTTTAACTCTTCTGACCCAGTCACTCTTCAATATGATCTTAATTGTTATTTAGATAAAATAGCTAATTGGTTTAATGATAATAAACATTAAACATCAAAAAGACCAAACTGATGGTATTTGGTACTAGCCATATTCTCTCAAAATTTAAGGACATCTCTATATCTTATAATGGTGAAACTATTGAATGAGTAAGTAGATTCTTTTAACTTTATATACTCCTTTACGTGCTGGCCTTCATTCTGAACTTGATCCAAACTTAACATCTGTCCCCAAAGGTTTTTATGCATTTTCACCTCTTCTCTGGAACCAACTTCCCACGGCCATCAGTTATGCTCCAACTCTTTCTGAATTCAAATTTCTTCTTAAAACTCACCTTTTTCCATATTTCATACTTTTAAGAGCTGTGAGACTCTGGTAAAGAGCGCGCTATATAAATGCTTAAATATTATTATTATCATCACTGAGACAATATTTGAACACTGAATTACAAGGGATATACAGTAATGGGGAGTTGCTACTGTTAATATACAAGGCTGTTGACATGTGTGAAATGTTGGTTTCTGAACCCTGTCTGTAGTGCTGTGTGGGTCAGCAATGTTACTGGCCTTTATGTGCAGCCAAGTTCCTCTGATCTCTTAGTTTATACTATTAAAATTTTTTTATTGCAGGAGATGATCATAGACACTGTAGCAGGCGTATCTACCCCTAGGTATTTAATTTACGATGTCATCAAATTTGAGGTCAGGTTCAGTTATGTATGTTTTTCAATAGACAACAGTAATAATGATAACAGCATAGATGTTTTTGATGTAGTTGTAATAATCTCTATGATATCTTTTTAAACTATTCTTTTTATAGAATGTTTTTAATGGAACTTAAGTACTTAAATATTTTAACGTCTATGTGATTGTCATAAGTAACAATAAGTAAGATACTATGACACCTAAGGATCATTAAAAAAAAATAGACCCCAAAAAATAAGCCGCTTAGTGGCCGCCATCTTGAAATTCAAAATGGCCGCCAAAATATTGAATTTTTATCAATAATCTTCATATCTACAGCACCTAGCACTGTCATTCAAAGGTCTTTACCTATGTTTTCAATATCAGGGAGTATTATGCAATCATCAAAAATTATGTCAGATGGCCGCCATAATTGATTTCAAGATGGCTGCCAAAATATTGTTATTTTGTCATTATATTCATATCTACAGTAACGTAACACAGTCAATCACACCTTTAACCATGTTTTTAATATCAGAGAGTATCATGCAATCATCAGGAAATTATGTTGGAAGGCCGCCATATTGGATTTCAAGATGGCTACCAATGAAAGTTCCTTTTTTAGTTGTATGAAAAAGTTTCTCAAACGTTT